GAATAGGATGGAATAGGGTGGGCTGGATTCGCGAAATAAACTCAAACGATATGAGGGTTGTGCAAAACTGGAAAAAGAGGTTGAGGTTCTTCTTTCGTCCCTATACCTTGACTTCCGACGATAAAAGTGAGCTAAGACCAACGCACACAATGATCTTTTTACATGAACGTCATCTTCTATGACTATACTCTCTCTCTCTCTCTCTCTCTCTCTCTCTCTCTCTCTCTCTCTCTCTCTCTCTCTCTCTTTTCCCTCTGTCTCTCTTTCTCTTTCTCTGTTTCTTTTTCTCTTTCGAGTAACATCCGAGGGGTTGAATTTTAAAAGGACTTTATTTGGCGATGCCTGCCACTCCTCCGCGTCTCATTGCCCACCATAATCGATATGGAAATCGATAAAAAAGAGAGATACTTTGAATATATCAAAACAGGCAATTTTTTGTATCGAATCACCTAAAAGAACAATGTTAAGCATTTTCTCTCTCCCTATTTCTCTCTCTCTCTCTCTCTCTCTCTCTCTCCCTTTACGAATTTCGAATACACGTGCCACGAGAAATGACTTCCCATAGACTTTCGGGATAACTGAAAAATGTCGTACGTATTATCGATAAAGGAAATGCTGAGCTATTCTCCTACGATATTCCTCGTTTTCGTATCTATCAAATATTCTCGATCGTACTCTATCTATACGTATATATTATTATATATACGTATGTAGTATGTAGATAGACAAATGTATGTACAATTCGTATACATTTTACTATTCTTCTTTTCTTTTTGCTTTCTTTTTTTTTTTTTTTTTTTTTTGGTTTTTTTCTCTTTCTTTCTTTTTTCGTCGATCAACAGCAGTCGAGAAAAAGCTTTAGAATTTGTTCTGTTCGCGTTAAAACTGATGCACGTGTTTCTCCCGAAAGAAAGAAGAAAAAAAAAAATAAAAGGAAAAAGAAAAATATAGAAGCAAAAGAAAGAAAGAAAGTTGTACGAAAGTGATCTCTAAAAGAATTCGTATTACATAGATAGATCCGTCTTTAGTTCTATAATTATTTCAAGATTCACGTAATTAAATATTATCTTGTAAACGTTATTAAAAAGTTCACGTTTATCATCGAAGATACACGCTTGTGATTTTTTTTTCTCTTTTTTTTTCTCAAATCCATCATTCGTCGAATATATTATATCACTATAATAATAATAATAATAATAATAATAATAATAATAATAATAATAATAATAATAATAATAATAATAATAACAATATATAATATAATAAAATAAAATATGAAATATAAAGTGTAGAATTTGAAGAAATACGAAATATAAAATTTATAAAATTGTCAAACACTTCTCATATAATTTATCGTCAGATAAGAAATAATTTGACATATGATTTATTTTTGCTCTATTTTCTTTTTCAATTTATTTTCTATTTTTTTAGATATAAATACTATTATTGTTAGAAAATAGAAAAATTTCTATCATATACGCATACACACACACGCACACATATATATACATACCCTACTCGATTCTTAAGTTACGCATGAGAATGATATAATCTATGTAAGCTTATAAACCGATCCGATAGGCCTATAATGGAGAATGATATTTGCCTCTTATTACACTTTGTAATCAATATTTTGTTCATATCTATCGCTAAAGTCACAGAGCTCCTTCCAACGTAAGATGTTGAACAGTCTTAAATTAGCACGTGTAAGCTATGTCTCTTCTACGAGTAAGTACTTGCTTTCGTTAGTTTATACACGTTAATTTCATGCAAGTACTTGAGCTAGTTCGTAATTCTCGCGAGTTTACTAAGCATACGTACGCGCGTGTATTACGAAACCTTATACATAAGTATAGTAGGAAAGGGACAAGCATACGTAAGTAGTTTGAAGTCTCTTGACTTACAGTAGAAGTATGTATATATATATATATATATATATATATATATACATACTATATGTATATATATATATGTGTATATATATATATATATGTATATCTGATTACAAAGTATAGGTATGTTAAGAATATCATTATATATTAACCTGATATAATATCTATTGATAAAACCGAATGAAAATTTGATTCTTATCAATTGATATAAATACAATTTGTTTGTAAAAAAATATAATCGAATAAATATATTTCACCTTTTTTATATTAATTAGAATCTTTATTGGGGATAAATTAATTGTTATAACGAGATTAACTCGTGAAAAATTTTTAATTTACTTCAATAGAAATGCAAAAGAAGTTTAGATACGAGGAGGAGGTTTTTTCTTTTTTTTTTTTTTTTTATTATTACTAATCGATTATCGTGATTTTATCTTTCGTTCGAGAATAATAAAGGACAATAATAAAAACGTGAAGGAGAATGAGAAAAGAAAAGGGGAAAGAAAAGAGGAAAGAGACGGAAATTAGTTCTGTTCAGCAATGAGAATCCGTTGCTGAGGAGGATCATTTTCGTTTTACTGGTATGTCTACTATCGATACCCGAGAAACGTCGGGTTAATTACTGTCGAACTTTACGACACCTCGCAAGCTACGTCTATCTGTTTTATACGATAAAAGGAGGGAAAGAGAGAGAGAGAGAGAGAGAGAGAGAGGGGGACGCTGATTGATTGCCCTAGGGTTATCGAGATCGCTGTAAAATAAATTCATCGTTGTAGAAGAACGAATAGGAAGATTGTTCTCAGTGAGTAAACGTCGTAGAATAAACCTAATCATCCCCCATTTTAAGAATACTCTATCATATCTCGATGATACATGTGATTTTATTAACAGAATCAAGAGAATACGTGTGATCGATAATTATACGAAGATAAAGGAAAGAAAAGAGAAAGAAAGGTAAAAAAAGAGAGAGAGAGAGAGAGAGAGAGAGAGAGAGAGAGAAATCCCAAAGAAATATTTTCGTTCTATTTCGTGTTCATATTTTAAGCTGCACATTTCTTTCGAAATTCATATATATATATATATATTAATAAATGAGAGAGTACGTATGATAAACGAGAGAGTACGTGCACGCATATATATAACAAAGAAAGAAAGAATGGAAAAAGAAAGGAAAAAAAAGAAAAAAAGAGAAAAGAAGAAAAAGAAACCGAATACCTTATAAATATTTTCGATATACATATCTCGCGTTAATGTTTCAAGTGCAAACGTTTCTTTCGAAATTCGATTATTAATAAACGATAGAATACCTGAGATATAAATAACATTCATACGCGTGTACGTATATAATAAAAAGAAAAAGAAAGAAAAAAGAAATAGAAAAGAATTCCTACGAAACATATACGATCAATCTACTTAAAGTTAGAACTAAATTGAAATTTCTTTTTTCAACTTATCAATAATTCATCGCGCGTAAAAGATTATTTTCGAAGGACAACGTATATATATATATATATATATATATATATATATATATATATATATATATCGTTCAAGTGGCAAAATAAGCTGGATCAATCGAATAGAGATATAATAAAAAAAAAAACAAAAAAAAAACAAAAAAAAAGATAAAAAAAAGGAGAACAAATATGAAAGGAAAAATTCTCAATCGAGTGAAGCCTCATTTCAATCTGAACGAAATGAAATAATAGAGATACATACATACATACATACATATATATTACATACAATATATACATACGATATATGCGAACTCCCATACGTACGTATGTACATACATATATACATATGGGATTGTCGTGATTCATTTCTCCAATGAAAAGAATAAGATTTTAGGTAGTCTCGTATCTAATCTCGAGAGATGATGAGCTACTGGTCATCACTTTACACTGGTTCATGGCCCTCTCAGGGGATTAGTCAAATCCCAAAATAATACCGTGGGCGAGCAGCACCGTGCAATGGTACAAATGGCAGCAACCAATGTAAATCAGCTTCTCTATTTCTCTCTCTCTCTCTCTCTCTCTCTCTCTCTCTCTCTCTCTTTCTCTATCTATATGTCTGTCTGTTTGTATGTCTGTCTATTTGTCTGTCTATTTCATCATCTATCTATCTCCTTTCTATTCCTCTCCGAATTTGAACGATCTAATCGGCAACGACGTTGGTACGTTGCAATAGAAACGCCCCTTTAATACAATTAGAGTACATTACCGCAGCTTACACGGTACGCTTTCTTAAGCAAATATCCTCCGATTGAATGGGACGCTTATGCTACGATGGCATAGGACAAACACATGCTTAATTCCGTACGGAATAATCGAATCGTTTGGCGATCGTCTTCAGTTAGAATTACGGAATTCGGAGGAATGCCACGAGAAATCCATAATGTTCCAACTATGGTACGGAATATGTCTATTATTGGAGGTGGACACGGATGGGGAGGAAAAAGGGAGGGGGAGAGGCGCCGAGGTTTAGAGAGGAGAACGAATATTAAATTATTTTCCCTTTCTTTGAATTTTCTTTTTCTTTTTTTTTCTTTTTTTTTTTCTTTTTTTTTTTTATTATTATTTTTTTTTCTTCTTCATTCTCTTTCTTCTCCTGCCTCGATCCCTTTTGCCTTCCTATTCTTCCTACCTTTTCCCTTTCCCTTTTTCTTTTTCTCCTTTTTCTCTTCTTTTTCTCTTTCTTTTTTCCTTTTTCGTTTTTTAAACGGATCGATCAGGATTTAATGAATTTCCACGGATAGATATAGTGAAACGTTCCTAACGGTGAGCGTGTGGAAATAGCGATATCGAGTGGTCACCGAGCCACTGGGACAATATTTTTTCACGAAACGATCGTGTCATCCGTTGAAAGCTCGCGAATTCTCTGTTTTGATTTCTGACGGTGGCGTACAGAGAGTGGGGAAAGAAAAAAGAGAAAGAGAGAAAGAAAGAAAGAGAGAGAGAGAGAGAGAGAGAGAGAGAAAGAGAGAGAGAGAGAGAGAAAGAAAGAGGGGGAAGTAGAGAGGACTTGAAATAACTCGTGGCAGGAGAAACGACGTCTATTAATAGTTTAGAAGAGAGCATCATCTTTGTCGCGAGTTCTGTAGGTATCTCTATCTATCTATCTATCTATCTCTTTCTCTCTCGTCTCTGGTTTTCTTGTAAAATTCATCGTTGATCGTTGATAGTAAAAGGGGATTTTAATTTTTCTACGTTTGCGAAGTATCAATTAGCAATCGATCGATCGATCGATCGGTCGGTTGGTTGGTCGATTGTTTGGTCGTTCGATCGGTCGATCAATATCAAAGTTCGATTTTAAAAGAAAGGACATAAAAAGCATCGCCACCGCCACCGCCGACGTCGCCGTCGCCGCCGTCGTCGCCGCCACCGCCGCCGCCGCCACAGCAGCCGTAGTAACAACCCGCGCCACCCGATCGGTCTGGTGAATGTACGATGCGCCTAGACTGGTCGAAAATAGATCTAGGGAATTGGAGTTGCAGTATAGAGTATAAGAAAACGGAAGCTGAGAGGAGAAGCAGTGAGGAGGAGAAAGAGAAAAAGAGAGGAGGAAGAGGAAGAAGAAGAAGAAGAAGAAGAAGAAGAGGAGGAGGAGGAGGAGGAGGAGGTGGAGGAGAAGGAGGAGGAGAAGAAAGAAGAAGACGAAGAAGAAGGGGAGGATAAAGCAAAAGTTGAGTTGTTGGACAAAGACGTAACGAGACTTTGAGAAGAGAGAGCTTTTGGTTAGTCGAAGACACTGAACTTGGAATGATTCTCGGAGCTTGCCCACCTATAAGCCAACTACTGGAAGGAAGTTAAAATCACGTTGGTGTGAATCTAAATAAAGAACTATGGAGAGGAGAGAGTGAAAGAAACGAAAAAGAAAGAAAAAGAAAGCGAGAGAGAGAAAGAGAGTAAGAAAGAGAGAGAGAGAGAGAGAGAGAGAGAGAAAGAGTGAGGGGTGGGGGGAGGGGAAGCATCGTGTTCCAAGAGGGATACGAGTGTAAGAATGGTAGAGAGAAACGCTTGCAACAGCGGCAGCGGTGTTGGTGTTGGTATTGGTGGTGGCGGCGGGTGCGGTAGCAGCAGCAACAGCAGCGGCAGCAGCAACGGAAGCAGCAGCAGCAGCAGCAGCAGCAGCAGTAGCAACAACAGCAGCAGCAACGGGAATAAGATAAACGCATCATCCCTCAATGGCGTATCAAACGTTGTCCATGAAGGTGGAGTCAAAATTACAGTTATCGAAGAAGCTGTTGGACTTGAGGAGGAATTGACGAGTTTACGCCGTGCCAGTAGCGCTAGATTTTCTCTATTCAAGTGGTTTAAACGAGCCGGCAGTCGGGCTGCCACGTTTGAGAAAAGAAGAAAGATACTCGATAAAATTACTGTTGGTGAAGAAAAAGAAGAAACGGGAAGAGAGGTGGAGGAGGAGGAAGAGGAGGAGGAGGAGCAGGAGCAGGAGGAGGAGGAGGAAGAGGAGGAGGAGGAAGAAGAAGAAGAAAAAGTAAGAAAAGAGACGGATGAAAAAGAAGAGGAAGACGATAAAGGACAACAACGCAGCGTTTCCTCGAGTGCGGAAAGTGTAGAAACTTTCTATAGTACTACAACGGTACGAAGCTTTGCCTTTCACAGCGGTGGTCTCATCACTGGTAAAGAATTGTCATTAGGCATTTTGAAGCAGGCTGCCGAAGTAGGTCCCTTCGCGGCTGGAGCCTCGAAATTGATTGCCAACAAAGAGAACAACGTCGCGGATGTCGCCTCTACGTTACCATCTAACGTTCATTCTCGTAGAAGGGACATCACCACGAGATATTCCCTTCAACCAACTAAAACGAGTTACTCATCCTGCGGTAATTTTCCATTACCAGAAAAAAGACCACTTTCCGGGACCTTGAGAAGAATTCAGGATAAGAATTTAAACGGCGAGGTTATCGTCAGGCGTAAAGTACACGTTAAAGGTAAAAGAAGAGCTCCGAATCCTCCAGAAGTATCGAAGATCATTGGGGTCGATGTACGGGTGGGACAATCAAAAAATAGCAACAGACGAAAGAGGCGAGCGCCGAGACCACCTGAAAATATTGAAACATCCGAGAGTTCTTTGTCTTTAGAAGTTAAAGAGAAGTCAGCTATAACCGATGGTGGAATGGACTCGGGAAATAAAGAAGAAGAGGGACAACAAGTAATAAGCAACGATACTTTGATATTGCAAGGCGGTGTTTTACACTCGAAGAAAAAAGATTTAGAAAAACAAAGTCCAAAATTACGAAAGGATCGATTAGCTTCTAATAATTGTGGTGTCGGTTTTATAAGTGTTCCCGGTTCTAATACGACACGAAACGATACGATATCCCAGGATTTGACGAACTTTCGGAACGTCGTTGACACGGGTACACTTGGCACCGCCATGCCGCGACCTTGGTACAAACGGAGCGTCTTCGAACATTCTCGGGATTCCACGTCGTCTCGAAAGGGCGATGTACTTCGTACATCCTCGGCCATTGGGACGATGGACACCAAGGAAGAATGTGTCGGTGCACAGGGAGTATCATCGAGTCTTACTACGACTACTACCTCTACCTCGGCTTATTCCATGGATGCTTCCCTTTCTAGATTGAGTTTCTTTCATCGTGGTGAACGACAGATGGAGGAAAGGAAACGTGACGTCAAAAGAAAATCTGGATTATCCATCCTAACTAACATAAGCGAACTCGACAAAGAGGCTGCTGCTATCGTACAGGAAGAACAGGCACGAGCACGTGCCTCTATGCTCTTGAAATCCTCGAGATTTACCGAGGCTTATGAAAGGACAAGCGATGTCAATGAGGAACTAGTTCAGGACATGGTAACCTCGGCAATGGAAAATTCCTCACCCAAACAACGCGGTACACGAGCATTGATATCAAAATTCAATGCTATAAGTAACATTACAAAAGTCACGGTTAACACTAATTTCTTTGCAAGGAGGGATCAGCAGGGTACGAAATTTGAACAAGACGTTATCAGAAAGTCTAAATTCGAACAAACGGAATGGAAAGAGAATACGAAATTTTCACGCGTTGGTCAAGCTAATACACGAGTCGAAAAGGATATATCTAAATATTTTTTGCCGCAACAACAGCAACAACAACAACAGAAAGCAACGACCAAAGTCGAGAACAAAGATACGGAAAGAAAAGTAGTATCTGAGAATAAGTTTACTCCAAGAAAGGATAACAACGATCGCCTGATAAAAGAAACTTCCAGTAGGATATCATTCCTACAAAGCCAGCTCGTTGCAAATCGAATGAACGAACCTTTAACTTCTCGTACGATGGTAGAAACGGTGGTGCCCTTAATGGAAGAAAAAATGAAATCTAAGCAGGAATGTGCCAATGAAATAAAGGAAAAGGAAATAAAGGAAAGGGAAAGAAAAATGGATAACGTTATTTCCGTAAGTGGATACTTATTATCCCGTCCGCGTGATTCTAATCAAATTGATAATATAGAAAATGTTTTATCGAAAGAATCGAGAAAACAAAATGATCGTAACGTAGAAACGAATGTGCAAAAGGAATTTACGAATATATTCGATAAAATTGATAGACAGTTACGTACTACTACGAAAGAATTGAAACATGTCGATCATCAGCTAGAATCAATTTCTAATCTCGAAGCAACCAAGGATAGGATGATATTATCTATAGAAGAGGAAGAGGACGAAGGAAAGGAAAAGAAGTTAGAAAAGAAAAAAGACGAACAAGAAAAAGAACAAGAAGGAGAACAAGAAGAAGAAGAAGAAGAAGAAGGAGGAGGAGGAGGAGGAGGAGGAGGAGGAGGAGGAGGAGAAGGAATATCGAGTAAAGTGACTAAAGTCCTCGATATCCTCGTAGAAGCTGAGAAAGATGGGAAAGCAAAGAAGGCTCTTATGCGATCAATGAAATCTATACCGAACGTAGATGAAACTAATCGTAAGATCGAAACGGAAATGATCAAATTGAAATCAACAAATAGCAAGATATCGGCGTCATTGTTGAACACTATTGAGGATCAAACTACAACAGATTTGAAGGAAATGTTGAAAGAAATGAAACATTCTTTGCCAAAACGTCCAAAACCAAAGAAACGTTTTATCGAGGAAGGATTGAGTAATTTTATGGTCAAAGATGTTTTACCGAGTACAAGTAAGATATCTTATGTCGCAAAATCGGTATTGAAGAAGGAAGCGACACCATTAATTTCAACCTCTCAGATCGATTATGAGATTGAAAAGCAAAAAGTTTCCTCGTCCTCGCAAACCAGCGGAAATTTACGTCGATTGAATCAACCATCAACGTCTACGGGATGGAAACAAGAGGATGTCGTTTATAAAACATCCGGCAAAGGAGTATCGGGTTTGGCCTTGGCTAAAAACACATTTCAATTGATTCGTCCTCGTGATTTTGCTGTGATCGAAGCTATCAAGACCACCAAGGGACAACACAAGGAAAACACTTACGCGAATGTAATCGAACGATCGCTCTACGCTAACGCTCTTGTTCATCCCTCGACTAAGCAACAGCAACAACAGCAACAGCAGCACCACCAGCAACAGCAGCAGCACCAGCACCAGCACCAGCAGCAACAGCAACGGCAACGTGATGGGGATCTTTCACGTATCAAGGGAGACTCTGTGAGTGGCCGAGGATTATCGACAATTTCACCCACGAACGAACGAAAATATCTACAGTATGACGACGAACCTAAAGAAGGTCATTAATAATTAAGAATAATCAAAAACAATTACATTTCACGATTTTTCCTTGATCTCTTCGTAAGAAGAAGAAAAAAAGAAAAGAAAAGGAAAGAAAAGAAAAGAAAAAAAAAAAAAAAAAAAAAAAAAAAAGAAAGGAAAAGTTATAGAAAATATTTTACTTTTTCTCTTTTTCTTTTTTTCTTCTTTTTTTTTTTAGACGACGTACCCTCCACCGGTAACATGAACACCTTGGCTATAAATCGTTTGTTAAGAAAATTAGAGGCAGCTATCGCTTCCGGTCATCATCAGCAAGCGGCAGGATTAGCGAAGGAACTCGCACGATTAAAGATTCATTGTTCTGTGATACGACAACGTACGGCACGTCTAAAGGATCGTTCTATAAAGGTTAATATGTACATCGAAGACAAACTAGCTCACCAAGGTCCAATACCACTTCAGGTAAGCGACCGTAACATTCAATATCTATTTCCTATTCATTAAAGGACATTATACATAGTTCGGTAAGCGAACCCCCTTATCGTAGTTAACAACGAGAATGACTGTCGCCGAATTGAAGACGAAAGTTTATACGGAATTTGAAATACCAACGAACGTTCAACGTTGGATTATTGGAAAAAATTTGGCCGATCGCGATGAGACAACTCTCGAAGAATTACAGGCGATCGATGGCTCACCCATTTTCTTATATCTCGTTGCACCGGGTAAGTCGTTTGATAAAGGAGAAGTATCAGAAAGAAGAAGGACAAAAAGGAAAAAGGAAAAAAAAAAAAAAGAAGAAAAAGAAAACGAATAACAATGAAAAGAACATAATGAAAATATTGCAATCAATTTTCTAAACAATTATATATATTAACTGTAAGAAACAACGTTCCATCTTATTTAGAATTACAAAAGGATTCCGTAATGCAAGCAGAGAAATCAAACTCCGTTGAGGAACTTACGAAGGTTGAGAAGGAAATACGTCAACCGGAAGAAAAAGTAATAACGGAGATGGAGGAAGTTAAACCGACTAGTGTCACTAGCTATGAGAAACAGGTAAAATTGATTACTTGCTGGACAGGACGAGATTTTGGACGAAACAGAATTCGAAAAAAAATAGAAAAAGGAACAAAGAAAAGAAAAAAAGAAAAACGGAAAAAGAAAAAAGAAACAAAAAATTTTCTCCCTACCAAATTTCTAATACTAATCTCAATAATTTATTTCCAAATATTTCATGGTTTATAGCAAAATTTTATTGTACGTTCTATCTAACACGTGTATCGTTTCATTGTCAATTTTTTTCAATTCCTTTTCTCTCTCTCTCTCTCTCTCTCTCTCTCTCTCATCTATTTATTTTTTCCTTGTTTTTCTAAGATACATATACACATGAGATAAATATATCGTGATATATCGGAAAAATATAATGTTGATAATGTTGACAATGCTTGATAAAAAGAAAAGAAAAGGAAAAAAAAAGAGAAAAAGAAGAAAAGGAAGATAAAATTAAACAGAAAGATATGTATTAATGCCGTTTCTCTTTTCTAATGAAAAAAAAAAAAAAAGAAAAAAAAAAAGAACAAAAAAAGAAAAAAAGGATCAAATTGATATTCGTATCTCGATTGTAGATAGTTAACATTCTCGATAAGCTTTGTTCAATCCTCGTATAGATTTCCATTGACGAGTCTCTTTAATATTTTTTTTATATGCCATTCTATGTTTTTCTCAAATCGAGCGACAGATTGAGCCAGATGAAGAACAGACGCCTGAGGAAGTGAAAATGGAACGATACGAAGAACTCATCTCGTTGGAGAATTGCGATGTTATACCAAATTCCGAAGCTATCGAATGTCCAATATGTTTCGTAACATATGGCCCACGGGAGGGTGTTATTCTCAGAGATTGTTTACATATGTTTTGCAAGTATGTATATTCTATTATAGACAAAAAAATAACTTGCAAAATCATACAATAATAATAATAATAATAATAATAATAATAATAATAATATTGCTATATTGTAATAATACAATAATATATTACAGTCAGATAATATTATAAATTAAATTGTAATTATATATTATGATATAGCGATTTAATATATATTCCACATTATAGGAATTTAATATATTATAATAAAACAATTAAGAATAATTTTATCATTGTATTTTTAACAGACTTTGCATAGCTAATACAATAAAATATTGCGAAGAAGCGGAGGTAAAGTGTCCATACAGGGATACCGAATATACGTGTGAATCTACGCTTCAAGAACGCGAGATAAAGGCGGTGAGTTAAATGAACCTGACTATTACCTATAGCCTTTTAGGTTAAGGGTAAAACATTTGTTAGAGATTAGCAGGTGAAACTAAAGACAATGACAACGTTTAGCTCGTCGAAGCGGAAGTATATCAGCAGCACCTCGCCAAGTCGATAATACAAGCGGAGAACAACGCTGGAAACAATGCCTTTCATTGCAAAACACCAGACTGTCCTGGTTGGTGTTATTACGACGACGACGTGAACAATTTTTTATGCCCCGTATGTGGTGTAAATAATTGTCTTACGTGTCAGGTGAGTTTTCATTTTCTTTCGTATAATTTCTTCATGGGTAATAATCTTCTCTTTTCTCCTTTTATCTCAAATTAAAAACAAATCGAAATGAAGAGAAATTTTTCTTATTCTTTTTTCCCTTCATTCTTTTTTTTTTTTTCTCTTTTTGGATACAGGCCGCACACACCGGTAAAAATTGTAAACAATATCAACAAGAATTAAGATTGTCGAAGGAAACTGATCAAGAATCCCGAAGGACAGCAGCAATGCTCGAAGATATGGTCGACAGAGGTGAAGCATTGGCCTGTCCTACTTGTGCAGTTGTTCTAATGAAAAAATGGGGTTGCGATTGGTTAAGATGTTCAATGTGTAAAACAGAAATATGTTGGGTTACCAGAGGACCACGTTGGGGACCAGGAGTAAGTAAAATACTTAATTGAAATTTATCAACGAGAATTTTATTATACTTAAATATAAACACGCAAACATACATATATATATATATATATGTATGTATGTAACTATGTTTCCTTTATCGATCGTTTTTCTCTTTCACAAAACCTAAGGGAAAGGGCGACACATCCGGAGGCTGTAGGTGTGGTGAAAATGGAGTCAAGTGTCATCCTCGTTGCAATTACTGTCACTAAGAACCATCGGAAGAGTCTGCAATTGCCTTGCCAACGGACAAACACAATGTGCCTATCTATTCAAAGCGTATATACCACTGGTACTGGTGGTTCTAACGACGTTAGAGATTCAAAATAATTTGTCATTGTACGATTTCCGTGAGAAAGAGAAAGAGAAAGATTGAGAGAGAGAGAGAGAGAGAGAGAGAGAGAGAGAGAGAGAAAGAGAGAAAGAGAGAATGTCTTTCTTGATCAAATTAACCTCATCCTTTTGAAGTTATAATTAAGAAAATTTGTAACAAATGAAGATACCACCATACAAAATGCAAACGAATTTGAATTTAATCCTCGATAATATGCATTATTTCTTGTTAAGAATAAACAATATTATATGTATTATAAGGAATTATAATTGAAATAATATTTTTATCTTAAACATGATAAACGTGTTAAAGTAATTATAATGTTTATGTTTTCTCTTTTTTTTTTCTTTTTTTTTTTTTTTTAATACAGAAGTATTCAAGATACGTGAAAAATATTTGTAAATATATAAAATATGAAAAAGCGATAGAACGTAATTCTACGTACACACATACAAAACGAAACTTTATGTATATATGTATGTATGTATAGGACATAGATAGATATCGAATTATATACATACATACATATATATATATATATATATATATATATATATATATATATATACAATATATATATATAAACCAGATAGACACATACACGTTCGTTGTCATCGAATTCAAAATCCTAACATTGAACGCGTTATGCTTTACGTATTTTACCTCTACAATTGAAATGGACGAGATTGGGAAATGAAAGAGTGTGCCGACAACAGAACGAACAGGACATATATATCGTGTAATCGAATTTCCGCATTTTTACTTCTCGCGAAAACATTCGAATCGACATAGCATCCGAAAGAGAGAGAGAGAGAGAAAGAGAGAGAGACAGAGAGAGAGAGAGAGAGAGGGAGAGAAAGAGAGAGAGAAAGGAATCCCTTTTTTCATTTCAAACGAACGAAAAAAGGTTCATCCTTCTAAATTTTATCCATCAATCTCTCGTAAAACTATTATTCAAATTTTTATTCTATTGAAACAATTATTGTTACGATATAGCGTATAATGTATTTATTATTTGGTTTATAAAAAAAAAAAAAAAAAAAAAAAAAAAAAAAAAAAAAAAAAAAAAAAAAAAAATAGAAATAATTAATATTGTTTCTATCAAAATATATTTTATATTTTATGATAAGATATATTTTAATAAAATATATAATCGAATTAAAAAAAAAACATATATATATATGTATATATACATACATATTTTTTAATTTCTCTCTCTCTCTCTCTCTCTCTCTCTCTCTTTCTCTCTACATATATATAATATATACATATATATATTTTTTGTTTGGCAAAAAAAAAAAAAAAAAAAAAAGAAAAAAAAAACGTGAGCGTGAAGAATCGATAAATTGTAATACGATTATAATTTGATATAATAGAATATTTTTTATTCGTTTGATGGAAAAATTAATATCGTTCATTTAAAAATCTATACAACAATTGCCTATCTATTTATTCATTCATCTATGTATCCATTGATATTGCAGCTCGTGATGCAGACTTAAACTCCTTTAAGATTTTGCATCAGTGCATCAGTATACGTTTTTATTATTTCTGAAGTTTCCATAACAAGTGACTTTTTACGAGGTTGACTTGTCAACCCTTCAACACTCAACCCCTATTAATCGCCTTTTACGGCAAACAGAGGACACTGTTGGTATATTTTATTCACCCTGATCCACAGAGGGTGAAAAAAAAGGAATGAGTCGAATGGCGAATATAAAATTTATAATCTGTTCAATTATCTTGATTATTATTCGTAGGAAAAGAAAGGAGGAAAGAAGAAGAAACAAATTTGCTATAAAAATTTGACAAATATTAACGATCGATAGGTATGATAGAATATATATATATATTTTTTTTTTCTTATTTCTTTTATAAGAAAAATTATTATCAATCTCATAAAATACGTACAACAACGATATGATAAAAATAGAGTAAATTTTTTTTTCTCTGAGGAAAAAAGAAATTGAAGAAGAAAGAAATCGTCATAAAAAAAAGAAAAAAAAAAAAAACAAGAAAAAAAAACCAAAGAATAAAAAAAAGAATTGGATAGATCGATCCTGCAATATCGTTTATTTTTTTTCTTTCTTATACTTACATTTTTCCTAATCTAGAAGGGGAAAAGTATTAAAGAATAAGAATTTGTCAAGAGGTCGCTAATCTTATCGCGTCATTATCGTTACACCATAATTCTTCGAACTTCAAGTTAATCATAAACTCGCATAATATTATTATTTATAAAAATGCAATCTGTTTAATTCTTCGAATCTTATGTCAGCGAGTAAGTAAATAAATATATACGTTCTCGTAACAAACAATCGATTCATTATTAAATTTTTAACCAATCAGAATATTACAAACGTCTTAATACCTTTGACCAATGGAAAGACAGGAGCAAATCTTTTATCCTCGATAAGTTACCAATGTGATATAAGTTTACCGTCACTTAATCAAGAAAGAAATTCAGTTTTATAAAGTCGGTCAATTATTCGTCATTAATTAAGTTAACAAGTAAGATAATTTATTTATCACGTTTATATTATACAGCATCATGTGAAAATCGATTATTAATTTAATAAAGTTTCTGTTTTTTTGGATTTTTGTGAAAACGAGAATAATACGTTTAATAAGAGTAAATTATTTTCATGAAAATACAGGCATGTATTTCGTAAATAAAAATGATATTCAATTATCAAAGATATATATATATATATATACATTACGTATATATGTATCTCTGCATCTATTTTTTTCTTTTTTTTTTTTGTTTTCTTTTTATTTCTCTTATCCAACAATTTTCAAACACAATTATCTTTAATTGAAATCGTTTTCACAAGATGTCTCGTCGATTATCATATATAATGAGAAATCGATATTGTTTTGTTTATCTGATACCTAAACGATCGGATTGATTTATGTGACATCGTAAGTTCATAATCAGAGAAGAAGAAATTGGGTGTTTAAGTATAAATGTCTCTTTGGATAAAAGAAAAAAGTTAAGAAAATAGAAGAGGATTAATTAATATACGAACATAAAATGAACACGATCAAGCAAAATCTATTAAATATAGAACTCTGTAAGAAATGCAGGTATGATAAAATGCAAGTTCTTTAATATTTAATACACATAAATATTTAAATATATTTGTACATATACATATATATATATATATATATATATATATATATATATGTTTATTAATTTATTTATTTGAATTCTTTTTCTTTCCTTTTCTAAATTTTTTCTCTTCGAATAAGAAAGAGAAAAAAGAATAAAAGAAATACTTAAAATCCCTCTTGCATTCGAGTAAAAATAGATTACTTGCAATGTCCAATGAGAAATATACATATTTTTTTTTTGTTCTGATAAACGTATTGATTAATATCTTGTTTAAACAATGTTCAAATGTTTGGATTAAATTAATCAGATTTAAAAGTTCTTTTTCTTTCGCAAAAACTGACGCCATTACGTTTGAGGAATTAAACAGAAGAAAGAAAAAAAAAAAAAACAAAAAACAAACAAAAAAAGAGTGAAACGATCCTTTATATGTACGTTTATTCGATTAGATTATAATGGGGGGAGAAAAGAAAAAAAAAAAAAAGAGAAAAGAAAGGAAAAAGAAAAACGTCGCGAGTAACTCATGTGTTTTCACTTTCGTTTATATCGTACAAATCACGAATTAAAAACTTTCGTAAACTTTACGCGATAATTCTTGTATTTTATACGTGAAAATTGCCTGTGACGTCAACATCTTATACGATCGAATCGTGAAAAGATATCAAGGTCTATTTGATTTTCAACATAGTGACAATGGCAGCACGTAAACAAACACGTAAATTGATATTTGATCTAGAGTGTATTTATAATTGAACACGATAATGATACTCTTCAGTTGTTTTCACTGTTGCGAAATAAAAGTTTCATATAAACAGTTCACACATATACACACACACACACACATACACTTTCCATTAGATGATGATCATAAGTGAAAACATAAAGGAGAAAAGAGAAGAAAAAAAAAAAGACATCAGACGATGTAAACACGAAAGAAACGTGGATTCGCTTACGTGGTTCACGCCTCCGTTAATTATAATTTTATATAGATTTATATAGAAATCATATAGGATAATTGATATAATTAATACGTTAATTGTTCTTATTCTTGTATCATAAGATCGTTTAATTATCGTCTAATTTTCTTACAGAAAATATCAATCGTCTTATAACAAAGATTTAGAGAACAGTACAAATTATTGCAATTGTTTGGTAAGTTTATATTGATAATAAATATTGATCGATAAAAAAGGATTATTATTAAATTATTAAATATTTTTTTTTTCGTTTTATTTAATAAACGTATATTGTATTTATGTAATATTTACTTGAAAAATGATCAAATTGTTTCTCAATCAATTTAGGAAGTAAAGGATGGAATTGACGATGAAATAAATATGGTGCAAGTTAATAAAAAAGAAATAGAAGAAGAAAAGGAAAAGGAAGAGGAAAATGTCGATTCAAAGGCAAAAGGAGAGGAAGAGGATGAGGAAAATTTAGAAATTTCGGAAATCTTTAAAATAGATGAAACGAAGGAAGAAGTGAAAGATATAACGAGAAAAGAGATTAATGACGAAAAAGATAAGAGTATAAATAATGTGAAACAAAGGGAACATTTAAATGACGAAAATTATGAAAACGAAATTAAAATGTTAGAAAGAGAAATTGAATCTAACGAAGAAGAAGAAAAAGAAGAATTAGAAGAAGAAGGAGAAGAATTAGAAGAAAAAGAAGAAAAGGAGGAAGTTTTAAGTGGAAAAAATAATCTGACGAAATTGTTAAAAAATGTAAATCAATACGTGGTATAATTATTGCAGTTTTACAATTTGAAGAAAGAAAAAAAAAACAAACAAACAAAAAGACAAAAATTAGCCTAAAGAATTTTGGAAACAAAAAGAAAAAACTAATTGATTTTTATAAATTGTCTTAGAATTATTTTGGCCTATCATATATAATTACAATCTATATTAGATATTTTAATAATATGATTTTTCTTTTTTTTTTACAGGCCAATGAAAATGAAATATCAGAAGATACGTATGAAAACGAGTACATGCAAAATGAAAGATACAACGAATTAATGTTATTAATGGCAAATGATTTTGTACCAAACTTTGAACCATTCGAATGTCCAATATGTTTAGTTCCTTATAAATCTTTGGAAGGATTAGTTTTGAAGGATTGTTTACACACATTTTGCAAGTACATCATTGCAATGAAATCATTTGAAAATTATTATTCCTTTTCCTCTTACAAATTCATCATCCTTTTTTGTTCTTTTCTTTCTTCTTATATTTTATTACTCCTCCTTTCCTTTTTTTTTCTTCTTCTTTTGTTTTCTCTTTTTATTGATCGCAAGGATGAAATTATTTATTTATTTTTTGTTTGTTTGTTTTTTCTTTTTTTTTTTTTTTCCAGAACATGCCTCGCAAATACAGTTTTATTTTCTGACGATGCAGACGTGAAGTGTCCGTACAAAGACGAAAATTATTCTTGCGAAGGAACGATACAACAAAGCGAGATTAAAGCGGTAAATTTATCATTGAATTCATTTACGTTGAGAGAAATTTTTTTTCTTAAATTGATTAATGTGATATCGAGATAAAATTAAAAATTTAGATAGTAAAATTGGAAGATTTTAACAAATATTTACAAAGATCGATAGTACAAGCCGAAAGTAAAGCAGGAAATTCTGCTTATCACTGTAAAACACCAGACTGTCCTGGTTGGTGTATTTATGAACCATATGTTGAAAGTTTTATATGTCCTGTATGTGAAAAAAAAAATTGTCTTCTATGTAAGGTAATTATTACAAATGATTTACATCGAGTATATCCTATAATAATTATTGTTGTTGTTCGTTTAATTTTTTTTATATAATGATCCTTTTTATTTTATTCTATTCTTTTTCTTTTTTTTTTTTCTATAGATGATACATAAAGTAAATTGTACGGAAGACATGTTACTCGCGGAATCATCAGATTCAAAATCTGAAATGTTAATTCAGAAGATGTTACGTAATAAAAATGCACTTCCTTGTCCCACATGTAACACAATAATAATGAAAATAGATGGTTGCGATGCAGTTGTATGCACTATATGTAAAACCGAAATATGTTGGTTAACACGAGGACCACGTTGGGGCCCCAAAGTAATAATATTATCAAAAAAAAAAAAATATATATATATATATTATTAAATAATTATATATTATACAGGATGGTCGAAAAGTTTAACAGATAAATTTAGGAAAATTAATTACTTTTCTTTTGTCGAGACATTCCATAAGTAAGTCAACTCGTAAACTCGTAGTTTTACAGATTTTAAAAGAAAAAAAAAAATTTAATCTCGAAAAATCTCCAAAAAAAGTGATGAATTTTTTTGTTTTGTTTAAATAATAACCTTCAGGAACTTTTTATCCATCCTATATATTAATACTTTTTTTTTTTTTTTTTTTTTATATCATTTATAAAATTTCACGTAACATAATTTATTAATTTCAGGGCCAAGGTGATACCTCCGGTGGTTGCAAGTGCAATGTAAACATAAAATGTCATCCAAACTGTCGCAATTGTCATTGACTCGGTCCATTAAAAAATATACATTTTATATATAATAAAACATATTCGTATAATTAGCTAAGTAAAGAGCATTCTTTTTTTGTCTGTACAAATAATAAAAGTGTGAAAATATAATAATGTTTAAGCCTTTTTTTTCTTTTTTTTTTTTGTTTTTCATCAATCCTGATTTTCTTAATGATTTATGTCAACAATAAGTCTCGATCTATTTTTTTTTTATTTTTGACAAACGATGATCTCTATTATACAAACTGTTTGATTACGCGTAAGAAAGGTATAACTTTGATAAGCTCAATGCATCAATGCAATAATAAGTGCATATTGGGGACGGTATTCTCGTATTGCGTTTTAAGTTCATATTTGTCGCTGAAGTCATGAGGGAACTATTGATAAACTATTATTTTTTTCTTACTTGCATATAAAAATTTGTCACACGTTAACTCTAATTAATTAATTAATTAATTAATTAATTAGTTAATTAATTATTTTCTCACGTGTATACCCGATCATGGTAAATCTCCAAGAGAATGAAATCAAACAAATGTATTATCAATCGATAAATTACCGACCGTAATAGAATCTTCAAAAGTTCATCCTTTAATGCTTAATTAATTTTTAAAATACAAATAAAAAAAAAACAAACAAAAAAAAGGATTAAAGGAAACCACTATGAAACATTTTTTTTCTCTTTCTTTCTTTTTTTAATTCGTTTTGTACTGACGTTTTCTTTTTTTTTTCTTTTTTTTTTCTTTTTTTTTTTTTTTTAATTCTTAATATTACTACAAGACGCTCTTTCAATCAACGTTATCCTTATTTAAAGCTTTATTTATAAATCTAAGATGTACAATAAATTATAGATTTGTATGATTACTCTGATCATAAATGCATCAATTAGTTAATTCTCATTCAAAGGCACATCCCTTGTACCGATTTGTTGCAATCGACTAATCAACGCGGATTGATGATGAGTAATTTGTTGATTTAAGTTATTACCACCTGCACTTTGCAATATTTGGACTAATGATAGTTGCGCAGTAGTAAGATCCATTTCACCATAATATTTAAAATCATTAACGCTCAGAAGCTTTCCTTCTAATATCCCAGCTATAATAGATCAAAACTTAATTATATTAAAATGATCATTATTTACAATTTAATACTTACCAATTAAAGTAACTTGTGAGGACTTTCTAAGTATCTTCAAAAGATCGATTACATTGTTTTCTGGACTGAATATTACAAAAAAGGGTGAACGGTATAATAAACTTATAGCTTTATACGGAGTATCTTTTAAAGCCAAATCTAATATAGTAGTTCCATATGTCTTCAAATACATATTCTTTCTTTTCAATGGAACAGCTAATTCGAATACTTCTTCTTGAGTTATAGAATTTTTATGAAGAAAAGCTATCATCTTTGAATTATCAAACCAATTTAAAACTTCTCGTGCCAAAATTTGATGATAAGGATTATATTTATCCTTCGTAATCTTTTTATTTTTGGTACATAAATCTAATAACGTTTTATCTTTCTTTACATTTTCATAAAACGGTGAAAGAAATTCTTGAAAAAGTGCTTTAGTATAATGCGGTGGTTTAGGCTTTTGTATGTTTATTTTGCCTCTGAAACGCTTTTGCTGTAGAAAAAGTTGATTTGGTATTGATATCTGAAACACTAAAAACAAAATATATCAAAATATTAAATTAATTGCTTTTAACGATATTATTATATAAATTTTAATATATATATATATATGTATATATGTATATAAATATTATATTACCCACCCGTGCTATTATAAGGATCCCATTGTACCGAATCTTTTAGATATAGCAATACATTTAAGTATTTGCTAAATTTATTAAGATTTTGTAAACTTATGAGAGTGCATTGGTAACAACAAAATAATTAATGCTCAATAAGCATTGTTTATAAAGATACTGACATTATTATTGGCTATGTTGATATATTTGATTAAAAGTAGATGAATATAGTCGATACAGAGCATAAAGAGACAAGTATAAAATTATATTTACAGAATCATTTATTTTGTTATTAACTTTATAAGGCACTTTGGGACAAATCGTACATGTAGATAAAAAAAAAAAAATATATATATATATATATATAAATATATATATATACGCATATACGAGAATAGGTGTTGTATGTATATATAAATGTAATTTTTGATATGTATGTGTGTGTATGTGTGTAAATAAGAATTATGTATTTATATATATATATATATATCGCTTTTACTTATTAGCTTAATTTCATATTTATTTAATCCTACTTTGTCTTTAGTATTATGCGATATAATTAATTGTTCCACTACAATAATTACTGCTCTCATGACGACCTTCTATACTGTCACCAAAATTAAGTGACTTTCTATTCTTTCCAAGTCTCAACATTGAACGAATACCACCTTTCTTTCTAGAACGTTTATATCGATCATCCAAAGCTGAATTAAGTGATGCTTGTTTTACATCACCACGACTATTCGAAAATCCTTCATGGTCATCTTTAAAATGATTAGTACTCGATATCTCTCCATGTACATCATCTACTAGCCAATGCTTTCTTGGCGAAGTATATTTATTGTTACATCCAGGAATAGTATAAACATATTCAGATTGTGTTGGATCTAATGATTTTTTATCATAAACTTTTGTATTATTATCACATGTAGTACTTTCTGGTACTGTTACTTTAATCCCACTTTTTTCATAATTATCAATTTTACATTCCTTTCTTAAACAATCATCCGTCTCCGCGGATTGATTATTTTGTTGTTCTACATTTTTATTTTCTCTACCTTCTCGTAACTTTTTATTCCTTTTATAGGTATCCGTATTTTTTGCATCAAGCGCGGCATGCCTTTTCTCTGACATACTTTGCCTGCCCAAAGCGTCACGTGAAAATTTATTCGACGAAGAATTAAATTCTTCTAAAGATAATTGACTATCATACGTTGGATCGCCAGAATATTGACTATCTTTATCATCTAGATTTTTCTTCGTTTCAACAGACTGAGAACATTCGTTATTAGATTCTTCTAACAATACTGACTCAACACGATCTTCTCTCGGTCCTATAGTTATTTTTTTAACATTGCTCACGGTAACCGGTTCTATCCAGGTTTTATTAGTGGCAATACAATAACTCTCATTCCTTAAACTATTTTTATTATATTGTTCCGTTAATCTGTCAATAACAGGATTCCATGGGGAAGCTGTTACACAAGATAATAATCCAGCATTATCCAATGTTTCAGATTGTGAATTTAAATTGTTTTTCTCTTTGACTCTACCATCATTAACTTTTGTGGAATCTGAAATGTATATGGTATTAGAAGATTCTATTTTACAATGAGAAGACATATTCTCAATAATATTTTTGTCATTAGCGTCGTATGATGATAAACGTCTGGCAATTGTAAGTGTAATGACACCAGTAACAGAACTGTTTGTATTAAGCATTGCTCTTCTTAAAGTTTCCATTGCATCAGAATTTGATAATCCCAAAAGTGATACACCATTAACATTAAGCAATTGATCATTAGTACGTAAACGGCCATCCCTTGAGGCTGCACCACCATGAAGTACACTTTTGATAAAAATTCCTAAATCCATATTAGTATTGTCATCTGTACTACTTGTTTTCCCTTTTACACTGACACCTAAGCCAGCTTTTTCAGAATCATGTACTGGAATGTCTAATGTTAATATCATACGATTTTTACGTGGTGACAATACAATATCCTCAGAAGGTTTGACTGTTTTAAATGTACATTTTTCATAATCGTGTACATTTAATTTTTCTTGAAAATCATTATTTTTATTTGTCGGAGATCTATCCAATGCGTTCCAATATTTCGAACCTTCTATTACTTCTAATGGTTGATTAATGGAAGATGTTTGACAATGTGAATCTAAGCTATTCGATGAGACTTCCTCTTGACGCGATACAACCAATCGAACTTTACCACCAGCTGGTATACTTCTCAACAAAGAAACAACTTCTGCTTGGCTTTTACCAGTCATTTCTTTTTTATTTACTTCTAATAATCTATCGCCAGGCCTTAATCTACCATCTTCAACTGCAGCACCCATTGGTAAGATATTTTTTATATAAATTGGACAATGACCACCAGCAGGATTATCACGTGTGGTAACGCTAAAGCCCAATCCATTATTTCCTTTAGTTAATTCTATTTCTATCATACGGCCAATCTTTCTAGTATTCGCAGTTTGCAATATATTATAATTGCTACATTGGAGCCTTTTAACATTGTCCTCGTTTTCAGATTTCTCAGTGGTCTCATTAATATTAATATGATTTTTACGAATGGACTTTTCGTTATGTGATTTTTTATGCTTTACAATCGATATCTTTAAACATTTTTCAGTCATACAGGTTCTAAAGATATCTTGGACTTTGGAAAATGGTATGTGTAACAAATTATGGCCATTTATTTTAATAATTTTATCATGTAGATCAATTTGACCATCGCGTGCTATACGTCCATTAGGTTCAATACCCTCCACTCTAAGACCTTGATCATTACCTAAAAGATCATAACATGGAACTACATGAAGTCCCAATGGTCCGGCTTCATTTTTTATCACAATTTCACGAATTTCTCCTTGATCTAAAGACTCTACATTGGTATTTGAAAAATCATAACAAGCTTTGGCATCCTGTCCTAATGGTTCTCTACGTCGAGATTCTCTAGGTAATGATTGAGCCGAATATGTTGTTAAATTGGGTTCTCTATTTGAAAGAGCATGCATAGATAATCTTTTGGCGCCTTCTCTTTTGATACTACTGCTGGATATTGATGCATGAGTATCGATTAAATATGGTTGGTCTTTACCATCGGAATGAAAAAAATCTGGACTATTGGTACCAACCGAACTAGCTCCATCTCCGCCGGCATGAATGACATCGTTACTTGCAAAATGGGCAACAATTTGTTCTCTATCGTCAGCAACATCGCATAACCTATCATCAGGATCAAGAAGTCCACCACCGGTCAATGTAGATAAACTATTAATGGTAATACCACTGTCATTCTTTCCTGTTGCCTTTTTATATCTCAATATAGCTTCGTGCATCAAATCTTTAACAAGTAG